AGTTAAATGTGAATTTGAGATACGCAGTGCATAATTTTTACGTGTAAGAAGTATGTCTCGAAAATTGCACGAGATATTCTTACACTAAAGAAAATAGTTTCTGCCCTGGCTGGCAAGGCTCAGTGGACTGAGCGCCGGCCTGTGAACCAAAAGGTCTTGGTTTGGATTCCCAGTCGGGGCACGTGCCTGGGCTGCGGGCCAGGTCTCCAGCTGGGGGGCGTGCGAGAGGCACCGCGTGCACATCGATGTTTCTTTCCTTCTCTTTCTCCTTTCCTTCCCCTCTCTTGAAAAATAAAAGACCATACAATCTTTTTTAAAGAAAATAGTTTCTAATCCAAAACTCAAATTTAACTGGGCACCCTATGTTTTATCTGACAACACAAGGTCTCAGGGGGAAAGACTATGACTCTTCTCCGGGGGGCAGAACACTGGTTCTGAGTGAAGAAAACCCTGAAGGGGCGAGTGGAAGAAACAGGAAGAGGCCGAGAGACGTGGAAGGAGGAAGAGAGACCATTGCCTCTGGGAGCCACCCTGGGGTTTCCCTAGGGGGACCTCTCAGCTAGAGGGGCACATCCAGGGGCATCGCCATGCCAGGCTCCTGAGTGGGACCTCCTATGATCTGTGGTGCCTCAGTCCTGTGTGTGAGGTCCAGTCCAGCTGCGGCTGCAGCGGAAATTGAAATGGACGAGAAGAACATGTTTGTAAGTTCTTAAGCAAGCGGGGCGGGGGTGGGGTGTGTGTGTGAAATGCAGAAGTCACAGAGGAAGAGATTGCTAGAAAAGGAAAAGGATTGATTGCTAGATTTCAGATGACATAACAATAACACAACTTCTGACTACAAGTCATCATAAAGATGAAAGGCATATGACGCCTGCAACATATGCCATACCCAGAATATATCAAGAGTTCCCGCAGTTCACCAAGAAAAAGACAAACAGTAGAAAAATAAACAAAGGATAAGAGAGTTTTATCTGTCAACTTGGCGGGTGTTTTTGGATGAGATTAACATTTAAGTCAATGGATTTTGGCTAAAGCATATTGCCCACCATAATGTGGGTGGCCCACCTCCAACCGGCTGAAGGCCTGGATGGTGCAGTAAGACTGGCGCCTCCGAGCCAGAGGAAATTCTTCGGCGACTGCCTTCGGGCTTCATCTGCACCATCTGCTCTCCTGAGTCTCTGGCCTGCTGGTTTACACTGCAGATTCTGGACTTGCTAGCTTCCATAGTCATGTGAGCCAATTCATTTTAATAGATCTCTTTCTATATACACAGCAATTAGTTCCGTTTCCCTGGAGAACCCTGAGTAATACAGATAGGAACAGGCAATTCCTAGGAGAAATATACACGCAGAATAAGCATATGCACACATACTCAGCTTCCCTACAGACCAAGGAGATGCAGATAAAACAATCGGGAACTATCTTCTGTTGTAAAATTGGCAAAACACACAAAAAAATTAAACTGCCATATCCAGCGTTGGTGAGTATATTGGAAATACGTTCCCTCAAATGCCATGACTGGGAGTGTAAATTGGAAAAATGTTAAGGCAATTTGGCATTAACATTTCAAATGTGCGGACCCTTTACCCAGCAATGTTACATTTAGGAATTTAACCTCCACATGTGCATTCAGTCACATTCACAAATATTCATTGCATAATTATTTATAACTTTTAAAAAAGATTTTGTTTATTTTTAGAGAGAGAGGAAGGGAGGGAGAAAGAGAGGGAGAGAAATATCAGTGTGTGGTTGCCTCTCACATGCCCCCAACTGGGGACCTGGCCTGCAACCCAGGCATGAGTCCTGAAGGGGAACTGAAATGGTGACCTTTTGGTCCACACACTGATGCTCAATCCACTAAGCCACACCAGCCAGGGCTAATTATTTGTAACTTAAAAAAACTGGAAGCACATAAAAGCTCATTACATGAGACTGGTTAAGTAAACTATGTAACATTTATAGCATGAAATACTTGGCAACTGTCAAAAAGAAACTAGTAAGTACACAGAAAAACATCCTATGTTCATGTTAAAATGGCAATACACCCCAGATTGACCTACCGGTTCAGTGCATTGCCTAGCCAAATCTCGGCTGTCTTCTTTGCAGAAACGGATCCTAAAATTCACATAGAAGTTCGAGGTACTCAAAATAACCCAAAAAAATATTGAAAAAGATAGTTGGAGGGCTCCCACTTCTCCCAATTTCAAAACTTGCTACAAAGTATGGTAATCAAGACAGTGTGGTACTGACATAAGGATAGACACATAGATTACTGGAATAGAATTGCAAGTCCCGAAATAAACTCTCACATTTACAGTCAACTGATTTTGCCAAAATTAACCACAAGGCCTGGCCAAAGGGGGATGGGAGGGATCAGAGAATAGGGCAAGAGAGAATGGACTTTGATGGCAAATCCCTTTGTGACTCTGGAAATTTGCCTTTTTGTTTCCCTGATCACAAAATGATTTCTCCTCCCTTAAAAGCAAAAAAGCAGAGGGAAAGAGATTCCTGAGCCAGAGGCTGTAAGGACGCTGAGTGGTTTCTTAAGGGACGAGGAGAGTTTCTGTGGCCCTTGGTGCCTCTGCGCCCTCCACGGAAGGGGAGGGTCACTGCATGCGTTTTGACAAGCTTAGTAAATATATTTCACCGTTCTCTGCCATAGTACTCAAAGTGGTTACCTGTGATTCCAATTTTTCTGAATGCTCAGATTCATGGCTTGACCACTAATTACTATCCTTTGAGTTGTGCCCATATGGCCCATCAGGTCACGCAGGACTGTTTGTCCCTACATTCAACATCCCCGGGACACTGGGCTTCTTCTAAGGTCTTCAGTCTGCTGTTGCAGTTTTCGCTATTGAACACTTTTAATCCTTGCTAAACTCAAAGTGACTGCTTCTAGAAACTTCAACACATACACACTGATCTTTCTATAATCTACTGATGCTGGGAAATCAGATGACAAAATTTATTTAAAATACATGAAACAAGAGAAAAGAGGCTCTGTGAAAGAACTTTGAACTCTTCCATGGATAAAGTTTATGACTCTTTAGAGAGGGTTTCTTCATCTCAGCCCTACTGACGTTTGGGGCAGAAAAATCTGTGTTAGAGGGACTCTGTCCTGCGCTATGTAGGATGTTTAGAAGCATCCCTGGCCTCTGTCCACTAGATGCCAACAGTACTTCCCTCAAGTTATGACAACCCAGAATGTCTCCACACACGGCCAAATGTCCCTGGTGGGCAAATCACTCCTTTAAGAATTTTGTGATACAATCATCCCTTGGTATCTGCAGGGGAATTGGTTCCAGAACCCCCTGCAGACACCAAAATTGATGGATGCTCAAGTCCCTTATATAAAACGATGTAGTGTTTGCATATAACCTATGCACATCCTCCTGTATACTTTAAATATCTCAGATTACTTACGTATACAGTTGTTACACTGTATTGTTTAGGGAATAATAAGAAAAAAAGTTTATGTTCACCATAGATACAACCGTTATAAGTCTAACTACATAGTACATGTCAGCAACAATGTAACATTTTAAAAGGTATTTTTGATCTGCGGTTGGTTGAACCTGAAAACATAGCACCCACAGATAAAGAGAGCCAAGTTGTTTCAGTATGCCAGGGTTCTTTTTTCTGATTCCAGGGTTCCTTTTTTGTTTCTGTGTAGTTGTGTTTCTGTGTAGTTCATTTATTGATCTGACTAATATTTTATTAACATTGTGTATGTGTGTGCACGCGCATGGTTGGTTGACCAGCAGAAGCCTAAGTTATCCCCCCCGCCCCGCCCCGCCCCGCCCGCCTCAGGATAGGATACACAAGAAGGTAAATATGCACAAATGTCGTCAGCCGGCATAGTAGTTCCAATTCTCAGCAGGAGCCTTATCCAGTGTCTGGATCCTCACTAGCCCCAGGCCGAGCACCACTGCCACACAATTAATTCCTCAACCCTGCCACTCCTTCCCCACTCAGACTTGGATTTGTCCCCTACCCCAGCCTCACCCTCAGCTCAAGCCCTTTGCTTAGCCTGTAGTGCCCCCCACCCTTTCCTCCGCGGCCCGGTGCGGGGCTTCCTCTGGGCCTCTCTCCTCTCCTAAGCGCCTCCCATCACCGGTCTCTGCCTGGGCCAGGCCCTTTGGCACTGAGCAGTCTGGCTCCCATTACTGGCTAACCTGTTTCGTGTAGCACATTTTTCTCTCCTCACCAGCCATGTAAATTCCTGTAAGGTGGCGCCGTCTGAAACTGCAACGTCACTTCTACTATGCACCCATCCCCTGCCCGGCCTTGTACCAGGCACCCAGCAGCTCCTCAAACCTCACTAAACTGAACTTGGCATCCAGTCCTTGCCCACGGCTGCCCTTTCCATCTGGTCCCCTAATGCTCTTTCCAACACCGCCTAGCCAAATCCACCACTTCCTCAACTTCTCTCACCTGCGTTAAAATCCTCCCAGCCTCAACTCAAAAAGGTGCCCCCAAGTTGGAATTCTCTTCTTCCCCCCTAGAGCTAGACTATTCTCCTACACACATCCGTACACTTGGCACATGACCATGTACCTTAAATTAGAATCTCTGAGCGCTACTTATCCTTGGCATCACGACTTTCCTTCAACCCCAGAGTTTAATCTGAGTTTGTTGAGTAGAATAGAAACAGGATGCACAAGCGTCCGACATCCAGAAACGGACATCCTGCAAACGCTCTAGAACGCACAGTCCTTTGGCTGTCAATGCCTCCAGACAGGCGCTGCCCCACCTCCGGCAAACTACCAGGCGCCCTCACAAGGCAAAGAGCAAGCCAGGGCGTCCGTCACATGATTCTCCAATCACATGATCCCTAGAAATGGGGGTGGCGGGGGAAGACAGGCTGGGAGGGAGGAAAGTGAATCGAGTAGAAAAGCCGCACGGGATTCCTGGCTGGCCCCGCCTCCACGCCGACGAGTAGCCAACGGAAGCTCGACAGCCCGATCATCTGGCCAATGGAAACTGAGGTGGGTGGGCCATTGCGCTGGGAGGCCCCAGGTCTGTGAGCGGTGGAGCAGCTGCTGCCCAGCCAGCGCGGATCCGGACGCAGGTAGGGATCTCGGCCGCACAGACCTGTCGCTTGCTCCTTCCCAAGGCTCCGGCTGCAGGCATGTAGGGGTTTGAGGCTCCCATGGAGTTTCATTCGGAAGGCTAGAGAAGACTCGCTTAGAGAACCTTCTTGGGCGTTTGCGATGCACTGGGGGTAGTTTTAGGAAGGGTGGGAATGAGCTGAATGGCAATGACCCCCTTTCCCTCTACCTTGTAGTATTCCCCGGAGGCTGCAGCCCTTTCCCCCAAAGCAGGGGCCACTCTGTTTTTGAGCCGGCGCCGCACCCCGTCTGGTGGTGGTGGTGGTTGTAGTAGGGTAGGTAGGTAGTGCCCGCGGCGGCTGGGGGGCGAGGAGAGGCGCCCACCCTGATCCCGCAGCTAAGAGGGCTGCAAGTGGGACTTGAGACCCTGGCCTCCTCAAGGGACTTGGAAATGGTTGTGTCTGGCTCTCCCTTACTTCCTCTCTTGCGGGGTGGGACAAGCCAACTTCCGCCTCTCCCAGCCACTTTTTTCCCTGCTCAGTCGCCTCGCTTTTGGGTTGGTTCACGTTCACCTTTTGGGAATCTCTTGGTTCTGACACTCAGAGTTGGAAGGTGCCACCTAGTGGCAGATGACAGAGCTGGGCGCTTGAGGAGGCTCCTGTCTTCACTCTGTTTCGGCAGTGTGGATGAAGCCGGGTGAGGTGAGAGAGGCCGCCACTCAAAACCTTCCTAAGAGGAAGTGGGCCGCCACCTCCCCTATCCCTGGTCCTGAGTGTGTGTGCTTGCGTGTAGATTCAGTAGACGCATACACTATACTTCCTAATCTGAGGATACCCAGGAAGGAAAATAAACATAAATCAATCCCTAGGGTGCTGAATAGACTGAGATACATGCAGTCAGGCACCCCCTCTGGCCTAAGCCAAGAAGTGGGTGGGACCAGCCGTAGATGCCTTGCCTGGGAGCTGTGGGTGTGGAGAAGAGAATGAAAGGGGCTGAAGTCCAGGACGAGTCCTCTGCATCCTCACTGGCCAGGAGGTGGCCTCCTGGGAATGGTCTTTGGGCTGTGGAGGGAGCATTGAGACAGGGAGCAACGTTCGAGGCTCTCACAGTCAGTGGTGGCAATTCCAGGACTAGGAACCAAGTGCAGTGCCCAGGCAGCTTGTGCTGTCTGCGTTTCTGCCCTGCCTGGTCCATCTGCCCAGGAAAAGCTTCTGTCCCCCTCCTCTGCTTGGACCCTAGGCCTCTAGCCTCTTGGGGTTTGTGGTCCATTCCCAGGACCTGTCCATCTTGCTACATGTGAAATGAACCCAGGTCCAATATGCTCTGGAGCCACCAAAGCCTGTCATCTTTATGACTTGATATATAACATGGGTGTGTCACTGAACATCTCTGAGCCTCAGCTTCCTCCTTTGAAAAGGAGAGGTAATAATTGCTACTTTGGATGGTGGTTGCAAAGGAAAGAAAATAATTTAGAGTGTTTAAACCGGCTCTCGGCAGGCTCCGCAAACATCACTCTTTCTGCTCCCCCAGGCAGGGTAGCATTTCCCGGGCTCGCCCTGTTGAACTCCTGGGGCTGGCCCAGCTTGGAGGAAAGTTGTTTAGGAAGTGAAACTCTGCACCCTCACCTCACCCCAGACCGAGGCTGTTTGTTCCTCTTGCTGGCTCCAGAGCGGCAGCGGAGTCGGCTCTTGCAGTTTCTCTTCATGTGAGCTGAGTTTTGGCTCCAGGATAGCAGGAGAGGCAGGGGAGGGAGGTGGTATGTTTGGGGAGTCTGAAAGGGCCTGGCGGTATTGGGGACCCTGCGAACACAGTGTTTCAAAGACCGACTCTGTCTGTGTGTCCCTTTCCCTTGGTGGGGAGGGGACAGTCAGTGATTAGATGGTCGCTGGCCTCTGGGGAGGGCGGCCCAGACTCCACTGACCACTTTTACTTTCTTTTTCTCAACTTTCTCAACCTCGTGGTTTCCCACGTTGTCATGTGGTGTCCCCTCTCCCACCAGGAGGCCTTAGCAGGGTGCAGGTGTGAGCATGGTATCAGGAGAGGGGCATGCGGAGGGGCTAGCTGGGGAAGTGAAACCCTGGCTCTCCTTCAGAAGGGCACTCCATCCGGGCACCCCAGTTGTCTCCTCTCATAGCAGCTGATGCCCGCCCCCCTCCAGAGGTGCCCCTGTTCCCACAGATCAGACCCACAAAACCCACAAGTCCTCCTGACTCTTATGTGATTATATCTCTACACACCCATAGAGACTCAGGTGCTAGGCCATGTGTTGGGAACACAGATTCACACATACTCACGTTGGTATTCATCTTCATGGGCATACACACGCTGGTACATGTATGATAGACACAGGACACATAGGAAGCTGAATCTCAGACCCCACATCTTGCTTCCTCCCTGGACAAGGAGTTGTGAGGGAGGCTTAGGTAGCCCCAGGCCCCAGCCTGGGCCCGGGGGGAGACTGGCACAGAATCAAGAGTGACTTGGACTTACATTGGTTGCCACAAGTCTCTTGGTATTTTGCAGGTGGACCATGTGGACGCTGGTGAGCTTGGTGGCCGTAGTGACAGGGCTGGTGGCTGGAACGCAGTGCCCAGATGGTCAGCACTGCCCTGTGGCCTGCTGCTTGGACCCAGGAGGAGCCAGCTACAGCTGCTGCAATCCCGTGCCGGTGAGTGCCCTCAGCCCAGGCGAGAGCTGGCAGCTGGGATTTCCCGAAAGGTCATCTTGGATGGGACGGAGGAAGGGGCCAGACTCTGGTCCTTTGGCTTATCCTCTCCTCTCTTCCCAGGACAAATGGCCGACAGCACGTAGCAGACGTCTGGGCAGACCCTGCCGGGTTGACGCCCATTGCTCTCCTGGCTACTCCTGCCTCCTCACTGCCTTGGGGACCTCCAGCTGCTGCCCGTTCCCAGAGGTGAGGGTGCCGTTAGCTCGATGGAGGGGCTCCGGTCTGTGTTTACTCGTTCCCTGCACTCTCCTACCCCCAGGTCGAAGGGCCTCGTCAACGCAGGTGTCTCTGTGTCCCACAGGCCGTGTCATGCGGGGATGGCCGCCACTGCTGCCCCCGGGGCTTCCACTGCAGTGCTGACGGGCAGTCCTGCTTCCGAAGATCAGGTGTGGTGGGGGTGGGGGTGGAGGGCACGCGGGCGGGTGGGCGGGCAGCATGTGAAGCTGCAGCACCCAGGAGCCCAGCTGGCTGGGTGACCCTGATTCCTGCTCTTGTGCCCTCATCCATGTGGCATCTGTACCGAGCAACCCCCCTGCCCTGGACAGAGGGGCAGCACTGGGGCTAGGGTGCGGGGGAGGCGAGAATGCAAGACCCCAGGCCTGGGGCCAGGCTTTGCAGGTTGGGGAGAGGCCAAGCTCAGCTGGTTTAATGCCAGCCCAGGCAGTGGATGCCCCCGCCTGTGCCATACTGCTGAGGCAAGGCAGGGCCTGCGGGAGAGTGGTTTAAGAGTGCCTGGGAGAACACTGCGCCCTTGTGCCAGCCCCCCAGTCCTCTGTAGCTGGGTCTGCAGGCCCTGGTGCCAGCAGCTCCTTGAGTGATGGAGGCAGTGACCTTCACTGACTGCGTTGATGGAATCCTGGGTCATCCAATCCACAGACACCAACCCCTTGGGTGCCGTCCAGTGCCCCGATAGCCAGTTCGAGTGCCCCAACTCCTCCACGTGCTGCGCTATGCTTGATGGCTCCTGGGGATGCTGCCCCATGCCCCAGGTACAGGTTTGGGAAGATGGGGGCAGAGGGGCAGCAGGGGCAAATTAAGGGGCTGCAAGGGGCAAAGACAGAGTTAGGACCATGTCTTCCCAGGCTTCTTGCTGCGAAGACAAGGTGCACTGCTGTCCCCATGGTACCTCCTGTGACCTGGCTCATGCCCGCTGCCTCACAGCCACGGGCGCCCGCCCCCTGGCAAAGAAGATCCCCGCGCGAAGGACTAACAGAACAGGTTCGGAGGTGGGAGAGCATCGGGTGGGTGTGGGAGTGAGGCGAGGCGTCGTCGGCTGGCTCCTGGCTGGGGAGAAGTTCTCCGCCACCCTGGCTGCCCCTCCCACCTCTCTCCCCTTCCAGGGGTCATGTGCCCAGACGGCCAGTCCCAGTGCCCTGACGGTTCTACCTGCTGTGAGCTGCCTAGTGGGAAGTATGGCTGCTGCCCGATGCCTAATGTGAGTGAGGGGCTACCGCCCGCAGGGCCATGGGCGCACAGCCACCTAGCCTGGACCCCTACCTTGCAGGGACTCAGGGGAGTGAGGCTGGCTGACCGGTTGCTAGGAGCCCGGCTGCTCAGGACTTATGCCACCCCCTAGTGGGGGATTGGGGCAGTGCCGGTTGTCAGCGTGACTGTTCCTTGTGCTCAGTGGAGACGGGAAGTCCCAAAGACCCTCCCCTGCCTCCACCCAGGCCATCTGCTGCTCTGACCACCTGCACTGCTGCCCTGAGGACACTGTGTGCGACCTGGTGCTGAGTAAGTGCCTCTCCAAGGAGAATGCTACGGACCTGCTCACCAAGCTGCCGGCACTCACAGGTACCAGAGGCAGGCCCCAGACTTGTCCCCCTGCGCCACGAGGAGGCCCTCCCCCAGGCTAGTGCAGGGGCAGAAGTGCGGGGTGGGGGTGGGGGGCGGCGGCTGATGGCCGCGTGGAGGAGTCAGGGCAGGTACAGCCCCCTTTTCTCCACACTGGACCTCGCCTTATGATCATTGCCGGGGGTGGCCCTCCATCCTCAACATCGGATTCCACTCTGGAGTCGGCAGAGGGTGGGTGGGCACCGAGAGGGTTCCCAGCGCCACTGCTGACCTGCCCTCCTGGCCTGACTCGCAGTGCAGGAGGTGAAGTGCGACATGGAGGTGAGCTGCCCAGATGACTACACCTGCTGCCGCCTGCAGTCAGGGGCCTGGGGCTGCTGCCCTTTTGTCCAGGTACCCAGGAAGGGCAGGCGGGCTGGGCTGAGCGGAGGGGGGCAGCCGGCTAGGCCCTGGTGCCTACCGTCCCCTCTCCGCCCACCCCAGGCTGTATGCTGTGAGGACCACGTACACTGCTGCCCAGCCGGGTTTAAGTGTAACACAGAGAAGGGTGCCTGTGAGGAGGAAGCCCGCCAGCTGCCCTGGGTGGAGCAGGCCCCGGCCCACCTCAGCCTGCCAGGCCCCCGAGCCACGGAGAGTGATATCCCCTGCGATAACACCACCAGCTGCCCTTCCTCCTATACCTGCTGTCGACTCCAGTCTGGAGAATGGGGCTGCTGTCCGGCCCCAGAGGTGCATGGTTACGAGGAGAGCATTGGGGGGACAGTGCCTTGGCTGGGGCAGGTGGCCCAACTCCTGCTACCTGCTCTTCTGCTCTCTGCCTAGCCCGCGGTGGCGCGCCAGCTCTCACCAGCTCTCAGATTTTGTTCCCAGCTGGAGGAACTGAGCAGGGGAGGCAGAGTGGGGGTAGGTGTTCCCTCCCACATAGTATAGCTTCCTAGACCGCTCTTTCTGCCCCTCCCCCCGCCCCAGGCTGTCTGCTGCTCGGACCACCAGCACTGCTGCCCCCAGGGCTACACGTGCTTGGCTGGGGGGCAGTGTCAGAGGGGGAACAAGGTGGTGGCTGGACTGGAGAAGATGCCTGCCCACCGGACTTCCTTGTCCCAGCCCAGAGACATGGGCTGTGACCAGCACACCAGCTGCCCAGTGGGGCAGACCTGCTGCCCAAGCCTGAGTGGGAGCTGGGCCTGCTGCCAGTTGCCCCATGTGAGTGCCCACCTGCCGGCCGCTGGAGAGGGGAGCCGAGTCCCAGGGCAATGCGAGGGGAGGGGGGGGATGACAACAAGAGCATAACGCCCCTCTGTCCCCCCAGGCCGTGTGCTGTGAGGACCGCCAGCATTGCTGCCCGGCTGGGTACACCTGCAATGTGAAGGCCCGAACCTGCGAGAAGGAGGTGGACTCTGCCCACCACGCTGCCCACCTAACCCTCAGCCCCACTGTGGGTGCGGGGGACGTGTTGTGTGGGAAGGGGCACTTCTGCCACAATAACCAGACCTGCTGCCGGGACAGCCGCGGGGGCTGGGCCTGCTGCCCCTACCTACTGGTGGGTGCCGCCCCCGCCCTGGGGCTGGGTGTGGGTCCAGGCCAGGCCCTGCTTTGCCTAACTCACTCCTTCCTCTGACTGTCCAGGGCACCTGCTGTGCAGATCAGCGTCACTGCTGTCCCACTGGCTTCCGCTGTTCGGCCAAGGGCACCAAGTGTTTACGCAGGGAGACCCTGCGCTGGGACACTCGTTGAGGGACCCAGCCCAAGACAGCTGCTGTGAGGAGAGATTGAGGACTGAGGACACTCTAGCCCTCGGGACCCTGCTCAGAGGGCAGCCACTGCTCAGGCCTCCCCAGCAGTTCCCCTAGACTGCCCCACTGTTCTGAGTCCTCCCATCACCGTGAGAGGTGGGGCCTCAATCTAAGGCCTTCCCTATAGATGGGGGGTTGTGGCAAAATCACATTACATGATGCCATCCCCTCCCTCAGTTTCCGTGGACCCTGTGGCCAGGTGCTCCCCCCTATCCACAGGTGTGTGTATGCGTGTGTATGTATGTGCTCCAATAAAGTTTGTACACTTTCTTAACAGTGTCTGATTTGGCCACCCTGCCTGCCCTGCCCAGGGGGTCCCTCAGCAAGGACCCCCATCCAGCACCCATATTCCTTCAACCCCACAGAGACACACACAGAGTTAATCTCACCAGTTATATTTGCTGCCACCCACAGTGATCCCATCATATTATCTCCTGTTCCCCAGAGCCGCCCCAGCCACCAGCCACTGGGACTTGGTAGCTCAGAGGTGGGCTAGTCAGCAAGCAGCACCCCTCCCCTCCCAGGGGTCGACAGAATGCCCTCTCCCTTCCCAGCCCTCACACTAGCAGCTGAGGCCTGGTTGCCCCTCCTGCTTTCCCACAATAGAACTTTCTATGTACAGCCACGTTTATACAGGCACTGCTTCCCCCCACCCAGCCCTCCTCCCCAGGACCTCCCAATGGGGGTCTGACCCCTCCCACCGCCCCCTTGGAGGCAGACATGGGGGCCCCCCCCAAGACATTCATTACCCAGCACATACCACTGGACAGCTCCGCAGGTCCCCGGGCACCTTTCAAAGCCCTGGACTAGGAGCGAGTACCCCCGCAACCACCTGGGGCGCGCACCCTGGGGACTGGCCCAGGCGGACGGGGCGGAACCCGACCCGGAGGCGGCGCCAGGCCGGGAGGGGGCGCTATTTGACGTTGAATACCATCAGCGGCCGCTCCTCCCGCCGCTGCCAAGGGCTCTTCTTGTCGCCCGCCTCGTCTCCCACCTCCGCCCCGAGCTCGTCCTCCGGGCTGGTGAGCGAGTCGCGACGCAGCTCGCTGGCGCTGCTGCGGGAACTGTCCCCGCGGCTGCGGCCCCGACCTCGGGGTACCGTGGCCGCCCGGCCCTCGGGCGCCGCTACCTCGTCCAGCAGCGGTGTCAGCGAGTTGTCCTCCGGGGAACAGAGGCCCGTGCGGCTCTCGCTGCTGCTGGGCTCCGTGTCCTCGCTGAGCGCCAGGCGCGGGGGCGCGGGCGGCGGCGGGGGCGGCGGCGGCGGCGGAGCGGCCGTCGGGGCGCGCTCCCGCTCCTCGCGCAGGGGCCGTCGGCGCACAGGCCGCGCCTCGTGCACGTCGACGCCCGAGTCCAGGCTGGCATCCGTGCTCCGCCCGCCGCCGCCCGCCTGCAGGTCGATGTAGGAGTGGCGTACCTGCGAGTTGGAGCGGCCGTCGAGGGACACAAACCAGGCGCGTGGGTGCGGCTTCACGCCCAGTTCGAGCAACTTCTTCTCGGTCAGGGCCTGCAGCTCCCCGTTGAGCTGTGCCATGGTGGACTCGTTGAACAGCACCGGGATGGTGACCGAGCCGCTGACTGGCGCCGAGCGCCCGCCCCCCCAGCCCTCGCCGCCGCCACTGCCCTCGCCTCCCGCGCCCGAGTGGCCCTGCATCAGTGGGCGCTGGGGGTCGGGCTGGGGAAAAGGGCGCGCTGGGCCGGGGGCCGTGCCCTCCGGCGGGACGGGCTCGTCGCCCGCCCCAGCGGCTCCCGCGTCGCCACCCAGGCGCACGTAGTGCGCGGGTATCACCAGGGTTGGCATGACGTTGCGGTAGACACTGTCCTTGAGGTGGTCGATGGAGCCGCAGAAGATGAGCTGCCCGGCCTGGCTGAGCGACGGCGGCCGCGCCAGCTGGTCCACCGACTGAGACAGCAGGAAGTCGGGGGTCTTGCTCTCGGCCGCCCCCTTGTGGCTCAGGTAGTGCTCGAAGGGCGGCGGCGGCGAGGGCGGCTCTGGCAGGAAGGCCGTGGCCCCAGAGGGCCCCCGCCGGTACTCCTCTAGGCCTGGCTCCAGCCCGCCCGGAGCCTCCACGGAGCGGGCGCCCTTAAGCCCGGCGCCCTCACCCCCGCGGGCACCTGCAGGCTCGGCGGCCGGACGGCAGGCAGAGCGCGGCTTGGCGCGGAAGAAGTCATCCCGGGAGGTGGCCAAGTCGCGAGAGCTGGAGAAGGCGGAGTGGAGGGGCCCTGGAGGTGGAGCCTCGGGGTCCCCCGACGGGGCGGGCTCCAGGGGTCCCCCACAGATGAGGTGGAGCTGGGACATCGAGGTGGCCTGGTCTCGTTTGTTGCCGTCAGAAGGCCCGGAGAGCTGCAGCTTGCGGTGCTGTTGTCTCGGCTTCAGGCAACGCCTCCTGGAGAGGAGGGAGCAGACCGGGACCCTTAAAGGGGTAATGCCAGAGCAGCTCCCTAACCCCTGCAGCTCCCAATCCCCCCTCAACATGAGGGATTGACATAGTTGGAGGGATCAGGACAATGCCTGGGACAAGGAAAGAAGGAAGAGAAAGGAAAGAAGGGGAAAGGAACAAAAGAAAAATTCTTGGGAGAGGTTTGTGGAAAGAGCTTGCGTGCCTGTGGGAGGTCCAGCCAGCAGCTGTGCCCACTTGGATCCCTCTCCAGTAAATTGCCCTCACATGTAGGAGCTGCAGTGAGAACCTGGGAGGAGCTCCTAAGCCCCAGGTCCTGTGCTGGTAGCAGCAGCTTCAGGTTGTCTCTGGAGGGGCCTGGCCTGCAGGTCCGCCTCCGCTTTTCCACTTCTCTCAAGCTACCAGTCTTTCAGTCTTTGGGTGTGTGCACGCCCTGCTTTCCCGTTAGCGCCTTGAGGATCGGACTATGTGTTTATGCATTTTGGGGGCCCGAGTGACCCACACAAGGCCAGGCACAGAGCAGGCCTCCATCTGCATAGGATGAGAGAAGGTAGGGGTTTGGGTGGCACTCACCGGCAATAGTAGATGAGCAGACATAGCAGAATGAGCACCAGCAGGGCCAGGGCTGCCAGGATGGTGAGCAGGAAGATGGTATGGTAGGTGCCGATGTCCTGGATGCCCGACGTGATGGTGACCAGCCCTGTGCCAGGCAAGGGCTTAGCATTCGAGGTGTGGATGCTCTTTCTGCCTTTCAGAAGGTGTCCACTCTCCCAGCCTCCTCTTCCCCCACTGTCTCCCGTTGTACGTTGTACCTCCCCCCCCCCCCCCGCCCCCACATACACACACATCTCACCAGCTGTGGGGGAAGCCATGGCAGCCGCCCAGTACCCCAGCTGGGGGGAGATGAAGGTCCAGTAGAGCTGCCGGCCTTCCTTCCGGATCACACCAGTGCCATTGCGTACCCACAGCCCTGTGCGAGGCAGGGATGGCATCAGACTCAATGTGTCCCCATCTAAAGTCTCTCTATCCCCAAACCCCAGTCCCGGCAACCCCCTGAGGCACTCACCACTCTTGGGATCAAACCTCCAGGCAGGAATGCTGGTGCCCACAGCAAGGGCACGAGGCTCTGAGGGCACAGGCAGGGACAGGTGAATGGGGCCTGAGAGTGGCACTTCTGTCCCATTGCCTGTCAGCAGGTGCACGCTCACAGCAGCCAAGGGCATCAGCTCCAGCCAGGAGCCATTGCCTGGGGGAAGGGGACACAGGGTTAAGGGCTAAGTCCTTTGTGGGGAACATCCCTTCCATGCATGGCACCCAACGTACCCGAGCTGGAGGCCTCGGTGCCCAGGAAGGCAGGGAAAGCCCGCATCTCCTGCTGGGTGCTGGCAGGTGTGAGCGAGGCCCAGAGCTGGCTGTAGGTGGAGCTGATGGGCAGGCGCGCAGCCCGCCGCTGGAACTGCACCCAGGGCTGGGACCGGGCACCTGGATGGAGAGAGGAGGAGCTGCGGTTGCTCAGGGACCAGAGCAGAAAGCAAGTATCTAAGGAGAGGGGGCGCCATTGGGTCAGGCCCCTCTGTGACTTGGGGAGAGAACGGGGAGTCACAGAATGCTCATTTGGAAGGGATAAGGATCAGAAATCTAGTCCGAGCTGTGTGACCCTGAGCAAGTTACTTGCTCTCTGAATCAGTTCCCTTATTAACCTATAAAGTGATGAGGTTCAGGTCCTCAAACAATGATTATCTAATGTGCGGCAGGCACTATGTTAGGTGCTGGGGACACGAAAATAAGTAAGATGCAATTCACAGTTCCCTGCCTTCAAGTTCACACTGTAGTGTGGTGCAGTCTATCTGGGTGCCCGTTCGGACTTTTCTGCTCGATGAATGGAAATGTTCTATATCTGTGTTGTCCATTACGGTACCTAACAGACACGCATGGCTATTAAGCACTTGAAATGTGACTAGTGTAGTGTGACGGAGGAACTAGGTTTATTTTTAATTTTAAAAAATTTAATGAATTTTAAATTTATTTACATTTCAACAGCTGCACGTGGCTAGTTGCTGCTGCATTAGACAGCCTAGGTGGTGCGTGAACTTTGTGCGTGTCTGCCTGTCTTGGGGTCGGGAGGACAGAAAACAACACGATATGGTCGTAGCTAACGCCTATTAAGCTTTGATATGCTGGGTACTGTTCTAAGCAGTCTACCTATATTAAAACCCCTGTTATTTAGCACAACAGTCCCTGATGCAGGTACCTTTGTCGACCCCATTTTATAGGTCCAGAAACAGAGGCGGGAGAGTTCAGTAACTTGCCCAAGGTCACAGTCCCGGAGCCTGGCTGAAGCCCAAGCCGTCCGGTGCCAGGACACATTCTGTCACCCACCATTCCATCCTGCCTCGTTATTACAATGGAGGGAGGCAGGGTGCAAGGGGAGTGTGGCCCTGCGGCACCTGGCAGGGTAACCAGGAAAGAAAGTGGAAAGGGACTGGCATGAGAAAGGCCTCATGGCACAGGGCGGTGTGCTGGTCAGGGGCCTCCGGTGCCTGGAGAGGGAGGCGTGGGAGGCCAGGTCCCAGAGGGCATGGTCAATGCCTAAGAGCCTAGGCTTTATATGGAAGCAGCAGGAGCTCTGGGAGGCTTTAAGCTAGGGGCCGAGAAGGGTTCCTTTGGCATTTTAGAAACCTCCAAGGAAATTTTAGAAGCCCCTGGTTCAGGATCAGAGAGATGTTAATGAGCAAATGAGTAATTTGAGGACAAGGGCTCAAGCTGAGACTATTAATTGAGAAGGGGCTTTTCCCACTGCAAAACCCAGAGCGTCTCCCTAGCACTAGATGGATGGAGTCTCCCCTCTGCCAGGCACCATCAACC